CTCCTGAGAAGAAAATGCCTCTATTCCAAAGGCAGCCAGCACACATTTTACTCACAAGAGTCGGCAGATGGCTGTGGATGCTTTCTGTTCCCAGGAATCACATCGGACTAATTGCACTGTGCATTTTCCATCACTGGTAGCTAATCCCAACTGTGATGTTGGGCATCATTATTAGTAGGCCAAGGACAGACAAAAAGGGGAAGTGGCTTGGACTGTGTCACACAACAAAGTTAGAACTCCAAGCTCCCTAGCGACTAACCTTGCCCTGGGCTCTGTCCCACACACCTGGCAGCTCCAGAAATTTGCTGATTTTTGTACTCTGGGCAATAAACACTCTGGCTACCCAAGCGGGTCTAACTTGTTTTGCAGCGAAATAAAGCAAAATTCTTCCTTGGGATAGTATCTTCTGATCTTTCTGTTTCTACTGGTTGGCAGGAAACCAGCGTCCCCACTTCTTGCTGAATGGCCTTGAACATATCATTGAAAGTCTCTGGGTCAGTTTTTCCTTCAGTAAAATGTAAACAAGAATTATTGATGTCCACCCCCAGAGAAACTGGATGAGTTAGGGAGAGGAGTATTGGGGGGCACTTATCCGATCTATTCTGCATTATCTTTTATACAGGTGAACTCCAAACCTGGCAGCACATTATTATCACATGGTTACACTTAAAAAATAGAAATTCCTGGGTCTTGACCAGCTCAGTTTACTTGGACTCCTCCTCCATTCTCCTGGCCACGTGGCTGCAAATGTGAAGGGAAGGCCATTGAGTTGACAAGCAGGGTAGTCTTTAATTTTTCTATTTAAATCCTCTCCAACCTCATTTATAGGTACCTTCTCTACAAGATGGGGAGCACTTGGACTCACTGTTTATCAATTTTGCCATTTCTCACATACTACTGTTGTAGACGATCGGTGGGTAAATACACACTCTCGGAGTCCGGAACCAAATTGATAAAAATTTTAATGGCCAAAGATTTTTCCTGCGCAGGGGCGAACTTCCCCAACTGTGACCGGAGTCACGTAGCTACTCAGAGCTACAAAATGGAAGTCGCGCCTGGCTTACAGACTACTGGGTATTTATATTTTCTAGCAAGCAAGCAAAGGCATACAGAAGCAGAGGTGGCGGTTAGCTATTGGCTTATTTAAAAACGGCGAGGGTCCCTGATTGGTGGGTGCTGCTGCTGGCGGGCACTTCCTGGCGGGCCCGGGTTAGTTACCTTATTTGGCTAGAATTTTAAACCCAATTGTTCCCGGATGTTTGTTCATTACCCTGTTCCAGGAACTGCAGATTTAGGGTTGGGTAATGCCCTAGCTGTAATTTTCCTACCTGGGTATAACACTACCTGTTATTTTTACTTAACTCTTTTAAGTCTTTGCCTCTTGTGTTCTCAGCTATTGGAGGATAAGAACTGTGTCATACCCTTCTCTTTTTGCCCCTACAAATGTCAGCTCTATTAGCCCATAATATATGTTTAATGAATGTTCATTGACTTGCAAATCTTGTAATTAGGAAATCTGGAATAATTTCTTAATTACTAGGGGAGTTGTTCTGTGTCCTTTGGAAGCTTAACAATCACATGGAGACAACTTTAAACAAAAAGACAGGAGCCTTAGCTTCTAATCCTAGCTGTGTCACAAACTCCTGTTGACCTGCAGCAAATAGCTTGCCTTTTCTTGCTATCGGTTCCCTCATTTGTGAAACCAGTGTTGATTTGTAAAAGTTTCTTTAGCTCTGGGTTTGGGTTACTTACTCTAGATAACAAGGGGCAGCCTTTTTCATGTCAGTGCTGTTAATGCCCATGATGACTTTTTTTTTCATTTAAGGACTGCTTAATTGATGGACTCACCCCTCCAGTATATAAAATGAGAAACACAACAGAAAGTAAGTACTTGGTCAAGCTTCCATGCATAACATGTGTGCACGTGTATGTGTGGGTAGCTCACGCTTCACCCCAGGCCCCTGGCTTTGATTGGATTCTTCCATTCTAGAGCTGTTTAGCAGCCCTTCCCAAGCATAGGACTGTCAACACTTAATTATGTGCATGCTCACTTTCTCCTTTGTGATTGGCACAGAGGAAAGGTATGACATTCCTCTTGGCCCTCTACACATTCCCATCCAGCACCATAATGTCCATTGTCACGTTCAGTACACTCTCTTCAAATACTGTCCTTTGAGAAGGACATGAGAGACACAAGACACTAATAATCCTTGCCCTTATGGAACTTCTAGTCACCCTGGGAAGTGAGGACAAGAATATGTGTGGGGGAAATGTGCTACCATATGTGAGGGATGACCTGGGAGTCAAGTGCTACTTTAATGCATTTCTAATACCTAGAACAGTGCCTAATACATAGAAGATGCTCAACAAATACATAAAAATAGGTGAAAATTGCCACGGTTTTCAAACGTTTTAGTTTAGAAGGGAAAGGCTTTCTTTAATAAAAGAGATGAATGTGAGGCTGCCCTGGTAAGAGGACCTAGGGTTGAGCCATCTGGGCTCCAGAGCCCCATTACTTACTGCAGTCAATTGACAAGGAGTCGAAGATCAACTTGCTCTTTTTCCTGGTTAACCTTAGCAAAATAAGTGAAGGTTTGAAAACTCTAGTCCTCCAGACGGAATATTTGCATCTGAAAAAGTGTTGTCAATCTCTCTTCTCCCCTCCTTCTAGGGAGCTCTAATTAATAAGGGCAAAGGGGAGGAAGTTTTGAGTGAGAAACTTCTGAGTTGGTCTTCAAATGTATAACAATGTAATGCTTGTTAACTTTAAATAAAGAAGGAAAGAAACCCACTGTGGTAATGTTTTCCAGTATTCAATAGAAACCCATTTGGTGTTGTCTTACAAGTAGTATACAATGTAAAACTCTTGTGAAGTCTGCTCAGTGAATTGAGGGTGCTGTCTTTTGCACAATGCACCCTACATGCCACTGGTAGCTACTAACATTCCTGATCAAGTTCATGGTTAATCTTGGGCACATGCACCTGCTAGAGGAGGTACCTGATGAGAGAATCTCTACTTCATGCCTGAAGAACTGAGACCCACTGCCTAAACTAGACCTTCTCCTCGCACATTCACCCCTGACCAGCAAAGGAGGGAAAGCGACCCGGGGAGTGCATACTTGACTTGTCACAGTGACCCTCCCTGGGCAGGCACATCCCAGATCTGCATCTGGAAGACAATTTTGGGTGACCAATATCAATTTTTTAAAACTTGTCAAATGGATAAAGCTGTTGAATTAAGAGGTTTTCATCATTACCCATTTCATGGCCCTTTCATATAAATCTCTTTATCTGTGCCACAGACTGCCCCTCCATACAGGTGCCAGAAGTTGCATGCAGATAATGCTGGGGACCCTGATAGAGACTGTTTCACCCCAAAATACATAAGTTGAAAGCTAATCCCCAATGTGATAATGTGGTGGTGGGACATCCGGGAAGTGACTAGGTTATGAGGTCCCCTCATGAATGACATTCGTGTCCTTATAAGAGACTTGAGAGAGATCCCTTGCCCCTTTCTGCCATGTGAAGTTATCGGCTCCCAGAATTTAGGTCACTTGCCAAAGGTCAGTCAGCTATGAAGTGGACACAACTGTAGGTTGCGCCCCAGGGCCCAGGGGCGGCGCTCTACCCCAAGTACTGCTCGGGGCACTGCTCCAGGCACTGCCCTGAGCTCTCAGACGGAGGCTGACTGAGCTAGAGGCAAGCCCAGACCCTAACTCCCTACTCCGTGCAGCGTGACGGGCTGAGGAGACCCCACATGGGTGGTGGAAGAGTGAGCTATTCCTTTAGATCTCTAGGCATTGCCTCCTTGTTTGTGATTGTGGCTCCCATCTAAAGTGTGGCGACTGAAAGGAGAGAGTGTGGGCAGTTCACAATGGCCTTCTGGAAGTGATCGGAGCACCCTCAAGGGTCGCTAGCCATTGGAGCCAAGCTCCTGCAGCTTTTGCTCAACCCTACCCCTGGAGCGCACCCCGAGACTGTGGTGTGAGAATGTGTGAACGCAGGGCTCTGGAGCAGCGAACCTGGAGACAGCTTGGTCCACCGCTGCAGCGCCAGGATTCGCCGACTTTCTCTGGAGTAGCACTCTCTGGTCCTTCTCCGCTTGCCCACAGAGTACCCTCTGACTCCCACAGGCCAAGTTGTCGCGGCCCCGCCCGTTCCCAGCGCCCAGTGCAAGTTCTGTTCAGCACCCGCGCCAGCGCGGGTTCCGGGGTTGGGGACCAGGGAGGTGAAGAATGGGACACGCGTGGCGCCACCCCCAGGCCCCAGGTAGCGAGCGAATATTGTAGGCACTTACCTCATCTTTTAGCCCTCGCTGCCCAACTTCTATATCCCCTGGGCTGCTGCTCCGTGCCGCTCCCAGAACGGGAAACCCAGCGCCCTCGGATAATTGCATTGACTGCTTTTGGAGGACTCCCGGGGACGGTGGTAAGGGGCTCTGGTATGAGGAGCTGGGCCGGAGCTTCCAGAGCTTGCTGGCAGGGGCCGTGATGGAATGGGAGCTTCCAGGGGACTCTCCCCACCCCTTTCCCTTCGCAGACACTAGTGGTCGTCCCTAGAAGGACGAGACTGGGGCGTCCCAAAAGACCTGCCATACCGTTATCCTAGAGGTACCGGCCTCTCCAAGTGGGGCATGGTGGGGAAGAGCCGCTAGCAAATGGCTGGAAGAGGGGACTTGTTCGCTGGCCAGTCTGGAGATGGGATGGGGTAGTATGGAGACGGAAGAGCCCGAGAGAACACACTGAGTTTTCTTTCTCTCTCCCTCGTCCGAAAAGGAACCACATTGGCAGGGGAAATAGGCGGAGTGTAAACACAAACAACCTCAAAAAGAAGCCAAGAAAAGTGAAGCCAAAAGAAGCAAGCGCAACACTGTTACAAAACTGTCTGGTTTTGTAACAATTTTCCTGTGGCTGGCCAATGAGCAGCTTGGCGGCGAGTCACGTGGTACTGTTTTATATAACACTTTGCTGAGACAAGACAGTTATTAGCCTGCGCGCGGCGGCCGGCATGGAGCTTGTGGAGGCGCGTCCAGGACCGGTGTGCGGTGGCACGGCCGCGGTGGCAGCCCTAATTCCCTCCAGCTGCCGCTCTGAGTCCCGGATCCTTGGCTCCTAGACGCCTTGCTGTGCGCGTGTCACTCCCTCTATGGATTCACTGCCGACTGGACAGATGCTGAGCTTGCCCTCCGAGCTTGGCAGCAACAACTTAGAGCTGGCGCAGCCGTCGGCATCAGTGACCCGTGTAGATACGGGCCCCCATCCGGAGGTGAAAGGCCCCGAACTTCTACCGACTCGAGAGCCGGAGCGAGAGCAGCCTCCTACAGCCTCGACGCCGGAGTGCAAAGTCCTGCTCAGGCAGGCCGACGCCCTGGCGTCTGGGGGACGCCTCCGGGAAGCTCTCGAGGTGTACAGACAGCTGTCGGAACGTCAGCAGCTGGTGGCCCAACAACTGGAGCAGCTGGTGCGCTGCTTGGCGGAGAACGTCCCGCAAGGAGAGGCGTTGGCTCCGGTGCCCGAGAACCGGAGCAGCGCGGCAAAGCTGGTGGTGTCGGACGAGGCAGCGGCGGCAACGGCTGCTGAAGCCTCCGAGGTGTGGGACGGCTTCAAGTGCCGAAAGTGCCATGGATTTCTATCAGACCCCGTGTCCTTGTCATGCGGCCACACCTTTTGTAAACTGTGCCTGGAACGCGGGCGGGCAGCCGACCGGCGCTGTGCGTTGTGCGGCGTCAAGCTCTCCGCGTTGATGGTGGCCACAGGGCGGGCGCGCGGAGCCCGGAGGGCTGCTCAGCAGGCGCCGCCGCCGCTGCGGGTCAACGTGGTGCTCAGCGGTCTCCTAGGCAAGTTGTTCCCTGGTCCAGCACGGGCGTCGCAACTCCGGCACGAGGGCAACCGACTGTACCGAGAGCGCCAGGTGGAAGCAGCGCTGCTCAAGTACAACGAGGCAGTCAGACTAGGTGAGCCTACCGCGCCTCCCGGCAATGAACCCGCAGGGAGATGAGGGATGGACCGGGCAGAGAAGGGCGCGGGGGATCTGGGACGTACTGGGACCGGAGTGGCGGAGGGGTTTATGGAGTTCAGTCTTTGACTTTTTCTTCTATCCCTACCAATTTTTCTTTCTTTTTCTGTGTCGCTGCCTCTTTGTTCCTGTTGCTCTTTGCTTTTTTCTGTATCTCCTGTTAGCCTCTGTGTTTCTGCATCTCTGTTTGTGTTTATGACACTGTTTCATTCCTCCTTTTCTCTGTCTTTCCCACCCTTGTCACTCTGTTTGTTGATGGGTGTTACCGACTCTGTTTCCCTCTTCTGCCTTTGCACGCCTGGGTCCCCTCTTACACCTGCCTGCACCTTCCCTGCTGAGAGGGGAACTTCGCACCCTTTCCACCCTCGCGCTGGCTCAGCTGGGTTCCTGCCAGTCTGAGGTGTTCACTAAACGCCTTCATCTGCTGTCCCGCCTTGCCCGGGCCGCCGTTTTGGCCGGGAGGTGTCCCTTCCGGGGCCGCGGCTTAGGGTGGGGTGGGTCTGGCGTGGAATTAGGTCAGGAGAGCACTGGTTGCATAAGGGCCACGAGCGGCCCGGGCCGGGCAGCCCCTCCTTCGCGCGGGCGGGCAGGCAGGCGGGCCGGATTGTGTAACGGCTGAGGTAACCGAAGTGGGCCACGCTTGCCTCAGAAACCATCCCGCGAGCATGGAGGGAGGAGCGCTCGCGCCTCGCTGCCCTGTGACTCATTGTCACCGCTTCCTATCACAGGATCCTCAGCTGAAATAGATGCTCCCCCCACCCCCTTCCCGCTCCAGCCCGCTGCCTGCGCCCTCGCTTGGAACCCTTACCTTGCCAGCCCGGTAAAAGACCGGCCTGGCGACTGCTCAGGAATCCCGGGAGGCTGTGGGCAAGCTGCGACTGGGACAGGTCTCTGTCCCGCTTTCCCGTGCTGCCTGGAGACAGATGGGTGGGCTTTGTGGAGTCAAGGACAACGTGGCTAACTCCATGCCTGCAGCCGGACTAGGGTGCGGGTATTTCTGCAGGAAGAAGCTCCCTCGACGTCCCTTCCCACATCCGGACCCAGGGAGTAGCCACTGAGCCTCTTGCCTGTGTTGCCCAGTTCAGGCAGGCTGCCAGAAGCTCAGCCAGTGAGGCGGTGTCTGACGAAACGTGCTGGGGAGGAAGGAGGCAGCAGGGCTGGTCAGACAGGGCTCTGGGATTGAGGGTGCCCTGAGCCTGACTCTGATGGGTTGAGGAGGGGGTGGGCTGGAGTCTCCACCTGTTGATCTTCCCCCAGAACTGGCAACAGGTATTGGGGGAAAGAGGAGGAATTAAGGCTGACTGGTCAAGACTAGAACCTGAGGGAAATGGGCATTTCCTACACACACATACACACCCTATGCACACACACACTGTGAGCTGCCACTGGGCTGGCATGTGCTGCAGAAACGAAGGGACATAGAAGACTGCAAACGTTTTGCTAATATCTTTACAGTAAGGAATAGGCACCCAAGCAAACCCTCAGACACACCTGGCCAGGGGGAAGCCTATTCCTTCAACATTAGCTGGAGGCAGGTCCCTCTGGAAGAGTACAGCAATGTGAAGAAGACAGGTGGAAGCCACTTAAGTCCAGATCTCCAAGAGAGGTTCCATTCTTTTCAGCCACCTCTGCAGGGCTCCTTTGCCCTGGGGTTTTTCCTTGCATGGTCAGAGCAGTCAGGGAGAATATGTCAAGACTACTTCGCCCTTCTAGGAGGAAAGGGGCCTTCCCAGCAAGGAGTATCTTTCTGCTGGAGGACGACCAGACTCTCCTCATTATTCTAAACACTGTATATCCCCTTCAGAAAAAACAAAACTACTCCCCACCCCAGATTCTATGTCTGGCCAATTAACAATGAGTCTGACCAACTACCTCTGTGACTTTCAGCAGATGCCTTCTCCTGTCTGGGCTTGATTTTTCTCATCTGAAGAATGGGTTGGTTGAGCCAGATGATTTGTAAAGGCCTGTCCAGCCCTGGCATCTAGTGATTCAGAGTGTTGAATCAGAGCCAACCTCACTTTATGTTCAGAAACCTTGCTCAGGTTTATTCACATTTGACCATTGTAATGAAAGGATAGAGCCTTGCAAATACATTTCCATTTTCTTAGAGAAACTTCCTATGTTCACGGTTTCTACACAGAGAGGTTGCTGTTACCACCAGAGGACTAACTTGAACTGGTCTTCCTGGTGGCCAGGATGCAGGTCACATCTGGCCACCTCCCTCTCCCTCCTCCATGGCCTGTTTCCTTATGGGTAATACTTCACTCAGAAACCAGGCTGCTAGTTGCTAGTCCCATATGACTACAAAGCGGGGTGCCAGGATTTGTTCTATGTCAAAGTTGTTGATGCATCACTGACACCACAGGCCCTCTAAGGAACTGCTTGAGAGAGAGGCAAGAATTATTTCTTTACAACTGGGACATCTCAGAGCCAGAGTGGCTGGGGATGTGTGGTCAGCAGGGCAATATTAGGGATAGAAATTGAGTCTAACCTTTTGGATCTCCAAGAGAAAAGTCCTAGAAAACTTGCCCTTTGCTTAAGATGTATCCTCATACAGGACTTATAATATGTTTTTGCTGGGGGCCATTAATGAGGGCTTTTTCTCCCTCATTTGGCAGCTCCGAATGACCACTTGCTTTATAGCAACCGGTCTCAAATTTATTTCACCTTGGAGTCTCATGAGGACGCACTGCATGATGCAGAAATAGCATGTAAGCTCCGCCCAATGGGTTTTAAGGTGAGTGTGGAATGGGAGGGATGGGAAGGGGTCATATTTTAGACAGGAATTGGCAAGAAGGGCTGCTGCCCAGGGTGGGGTGGAGGCACTAGAGATCAAGCAGAGCTGGGAGGCAGCTTTGCAAAGGAGCTGAGGGTCCCTTGACAAAGGGTGACTTAGGGATCTTCAAGGGAACTGGATTCTTCTCCAATTTGACCTTCAATTGATGACCTGCACAGCAGCATGGACTTAGGAGCCCGACTATCTGAGTTTATGTCCCAACTCTACTACTTTTATAAGCTGTGTCACCTTGGGCAAATGACTTAACCTTTCTGTGCCTCATCTTACCATATATAAAATGAGGATATTCAAAGTGCTTACTGAACAGCATTTGTTGTGGGGATTACATGAGCTAAAACCTGTAAGATGCTTAGAACAATGCCTGGCACATAGTATTGTATAAATGTTTGCTGTCATCATCACCACCATGATTTTCCAGGGATAGTAGAAAGTAGAGGGTAAGAGAAGTGTTGCTGGCTGGTTGTGCCATTTAGAGTCCTTAATATAGTCACTCAACCTGTCAGTATCCACAAACATCTAGGTCACATAGAAGGGTGGGGGAAAAGACAGGCTAAGCATCTCTCAGAATACCAGGATGCAAAGTGTCGCTTTTTGCATCTGTGTTGTGGCCTCAGCAACTGGCCCTCAGCCACATGTCAATATTTGGTTTAGAAGATAAGATTTGAACCTGAACTCTACTTATTCCCAGCTAAGTGACCATGGGGAAGTCGCTTTACTCTCTGGGCTCCCAGTGTCCTTGTTTGAAAAATGAAGCTATTGTTATCTATCCTGATTACCTCACAGGGATGCATTGAGGGTCGCAGATGAGCATGGCCAAAGGTTCATTCTTTGAGCTATAACACTTGCTGAGTCTTGGTATAGTGCTCGCTCTGTGCAATCCCAGGATGCCTTCCTTGGACACTCAACTTATGCAAGTCCAGGTCCATGATTTCTTTATGAATTTCATGGGGCCAGATGTGTTCAGACTCAGGAATTCTTCCAATTCCAGAAAGACTTTAAATGAATTAACATCCTCAGAGTTTTAGAGAGTGCCTCATAATCAAACACGCTAGTGTTTCGCAGTGTATTACATGACAATTCACACTAAGTGGGATAAAGAATATAATCCACTTTATATCATTTTAGGTCAAGCTTTGCTACCTCATGACTTTTGATGTCAAATTTATGAGAATAACAAATTATCAAACATTTGGCAGGGTCTGGGAACTTCAGAAAAAACATACAATGCCATTAATGTCGAAGTGAATCTTATGTCTTTCATGAGAAGATTTTCATGGGTGATGGATTAGTAGTATGTTCTCTTTGCCAAGGAATGCATTTACAGGTTGCTAAAAGTCACCAATATGTTAACCCAAAGGAGCTCCAGTGGGAGCATTTCAGACCTTGCAGCAGCACAGGTCAGGGACCTGCCCAGGGCTAAGAGGACTTCTCTTGCAACTTTTTCTACTCTTACCCTTGACCTAGGGCCTAAGAGTGGGGTCTTGATAGAGCAATGGGAAACAGGGCTGAGTAAGTAATGGACCCTTTTGGATGAAGTGGGAAAAGTAACTTCCCCAGTGGAGGAAGAGTTGATGGAAGTATTAAACAGGAGTTTTAGTTCCCCACAGGTAAGTGGAGAGGCTTACCTCTCTGCCCCTGGTTAGCCCTTTGAAGGGAAGTCTGCTCTATTAGGTAGAACTGTCTGAGGGTCCCAGACCACAGTTTTAGTTCCAGCTTTGTTGTTGAGGTCTCAGGGAGGTGATATCCCTTCCCTTAGGCATCTTCTAAAACATGATCTGTAAGTGTAGGTGGTCATTCAAGTCGGTAATTTGGACTAGGCCTCTGCTTGACAGACTAGTTGGTAGGAAGACATATTTGGGCAGGTCCTGAAAGCTGGTTAGCATGTGTTGATATGACTGCTCTTGCTAGTTGTTGATCCCTCCAGTACAATGGCGGAGCCACATGGTTGGGGGGGAGGTAGTACTGCCCAGTGGTTAAAAATTTGGACCTCAGTGTCAGTCAGTCCCAGGCTCAAACCCTGATTCCAGAATTTATCAGCTCTGTTACTTTGAGCAAGTCACTTATCTGAGTTTCAGTTTTGTTTTCTTTAAAATGAACTTCAGAACAGTTGTCTATATTGTAGCACTATATATAAGATAATCCTTTGAAATGCTTCAGGCAATAGTGAAGTCTAGCTAGTGTTAAGAAGAGCAGTGTCAAGAAGGTGAATAAGAGTGGGATTGAATGCTAACATTTTCTTCCAGGCACACTTCAGAAAAGCGCAAGCCTTAGCCACCCTAGGCAAGGTGGAAGAAGCACTAAGAGAATTTCTATACTGTGTGTCCCTGGATGGAAAGAACAAAAGAGCAAGATCTGAAGCCCAAAGGGTGAGTTGAGATGATATCAGGTCCAGCTGCCCAGAGGGCTCCCACCTCACTGTCTTCTCCAGGAAGGGGAGTGAGGGAACTACCTTCCAGGGCATTTGGGGTCTTGAGTGGGGGAACCCCTGGGTTATGGAGACAGAAGGGAGACACAAGTGCCAATTGATTGCTCCCAAATCACCCTCCTCTTGATGTGTACAATTAGATTGACCTGTTGTTGCATTTCTGTAGGAACCTGTGAAGAATGTTCCTGCTTCTTTGACTCAGGGTTTGGGTTTTCAGTGGGACAAAAACAAGATAAAATAAATCCAAACCAGTTAACATAGGGATGGAGGCTCACTGAGGAGATTCTGGCTCTTGACAGGAGGGCACAGGTGTGGGGCTATCTGCAGCTGTAGAATGCTTTGTAGATTATTTTGGCCAAGTCACAGCTTTACCAGCCACACTGGAAAGCCAGCTCCTCAGAAAGGATGCTGGTCCCCATATCCCTTGCCATATGCACAACCTCAATCTTCAGCTCCATTGCTAGAAATAAAATACATACCCTACCTCAAAAATGTAATTCAGTGACCAATACAATATACAGTAGTACCTCAGTACTTGTTCATTCATTCCAGAACTTGTGACAAGTGCCAAAACCAATGAGTACCATATGATAAAGCATTTTCTCTTGCGGGGTGGTGTTGCGACACATACAAGTGTGATGAAGCCGGAGCAAGCACTGAGAGCGGAAACATTTTTTTCTTGTCAAAATGCAATGAGTACAGGGTTTGATGAGTTCTGAAGTCAACGAGTACCAAAGTATGACTGTAATCCAAACAGTTGTTCCAACTCTTGAGTCCCAGGAGAATGTGGTTATTTGAAAAAGCTGCATGAAGTGCTGAGAGTATTAGTGAAGGCTCAAGCATCCTCACTTCACAGACTTTGTTGCTTACCCTTGTGTAGTGTGCTCTCAGTGTGCCTGGCTAATTGGCCTGAAGTTGGATACTGACAGTCAGTGGTGGCCTCTGCTCTCCCTATGCCCCACCTCCAATTTACCACTACACTCCAAGTGCTTCTGTTCTAGTGTGGTTTGGCAGGGCATCAGATGAAGAAAGGCAGCAAAAGACAGGACTAGTCTCCCGAAGGCTCCAGAAATGAATCTTTAGTGAAATGAATGTATGAAGAAAAGCATGGCCCTGGAGGTTCTGCCTCTGACAGATTTCTTTTCTGGGGAGTTGTTTTGACCTGATTTGGGAATATGGACAAGGTGTTCTTGAGAGAAGCACAGATGGACCCTCCAAGCTCTGGACCCTTCAACAAATCTTAAGTGTAGTCCATGTTTTGGATAATAATAATAATAATAATAATAATAATAATAGCTAACATTACTGAGTATTTCCTATGCACCAGGCAGTGTACTAGGGCTCTCTGTGGAAGATATAATTTAATCCCCACAACATCTCTATGGGAGTAGGTACTATTATTTATCCCCATGTTACAAATAAGATGGATGAGGATTCTGAGGCTTGGTGACTTTCCCAAGGTCATGCAGCTAGTGATTGGTGGAAGAGCATTCAAAACCAACTCCACCTGCTTCCAGAGTCTACCTTCTAGCTGCTTCACCATCCTGCTGTTCTGGGAGGACACTCCTGGACTCTCAGCATTCATCGCTGTGGTTGGCCAGAGAGTACCAATGGGACCATCAAGATCTGGAGTGGCTGAACAGAGGCAGTTAGAAAAACCTTGACTTTGGGGACAGAGTATGCAAAGTCCAACAGAGGCAGATGTCAGGTTCAAGGATGAGAGGCATAAACCTGTATTAGTCTTCAAAAACCTTGCAGTCCTGAATGTGTTACCCACTGCAATATCAATACCAGATAATATGAAAATGTGCCCATAATGAGTGTGCTGGGGCAAGAATTTAGAGGCAAATATCCCCTGAGTGTGACAAGAGCATGGCAGCCATTTAAGAACACTGAGGGCCCTAGCCCTGGCTGGCATAGCTCAGTGGATTGAGCACGGGCCTGTGAACCAGAGTTTTGTGGTTTGATTCCCAGTCAGGGCATATGCCTGGATTTCAAGCCAGTTCCCAGCAGGGGACGTATGAGAGGCAAGCATACATTGATATTTCTCTCCCTCTCTCCTTCCCTTCCCCTCTAAAGATAAATAAATAAATTCTTTTAAAAAAAGAACACTGAGGGCCCTCAGCAGTGCTTATTTACTGGATTTTCCCATTTTCAGATTTGACAGAGGTGGTCCAGTTCACTTGGCATTAATTAGTTACTTTAGACACAGACCTCGGATTCTTTTTTTCTCCTTCTTGACCCATTTGGGCCTTTTTTGGGCTGACACTGAAGTGGGTTTGACTTTCACCTATGTGGAATGATTATTATCACTGATAGTTGACCCCAACTTTTGTTTTCCAAAGCCATTGGGAAGGCTGAGAATAAGATCTTAGGTAGTAAAGGGAAGAAGCAAAATGCTGCTGTTGTTTCTGCCTTGTTTCCTTTGATCTTTCCCTTCTACCTCAGCTCCCTCTCACCACGCTCTGCCCTTTTTAATCTTCATACCTTAAGATGGTGTGTGGCTGCTACTGAAGAGCATCATGCTGTTTTGGGAAGAAGGTGAGCGAGATTGCTTTAGAAATGAATTGATCCTGTTGGGCCACTCAGGATGGCTTCTGAGAGTCAATTTTAGCTTCTGTGGAGGAGAGGCTCTGAAAGCTCGCATTTATGCCCGTGGGTACAGTAAGTGCCTCCCCACCTCACTCTTTCACCAACTTAGACTTAGGAAGTGGGTTTCCCATAAATGGAAGGTTACAGATCTGTCTGAGGACTTTGAGCCTGAATCCAAGGGCTCTCCCTGGGTCCTGGGATGGATAAGTGTCTTAATTCAATTCCATCCAGTGTGATGAGTATCTGTCAGACATCTATCATGTGACCTCTATGCCCATATGGTTAGAGAAAAAGACTTATATCTGTGATAAGATTTGAGGCTGACACATGACTATGTAGTGTAAGGTGCTTATATTATAGTTCAGTGGAGAACATGAAAGGACAGGTGACATCAGACAGTCTGGGGTAGTAGGGGTAGGCAGCACTGGAACTGAGCCTCTAAGGCTGAGCAGGGTTTGGTTACGTGGTAAGTGCTGACGTCTGAAGAAACATCATGAAGGAACTGTGGAGGCCAGCAAGGGGACAAATCAAACTGGAGTTTGGTCAGAGTTTCTGTCAGGTTCCCTTGATCAGTTAATACCCTGACTATGTACCCTGAACAAGGGGGTAAAACATCCTTTAGTGGGTCTCCAAACACTGCAGGGGCCTCTCAGTGGTGAACACTTGAATGTTTTGGAAGCCAAGTGACCCGTCCTGTGTTACATGTTACATAGAATATATACGCATGTATTAATAGTCCCTTTTGGCACAGGGGCAAATTGAGGCAAGAATTTGGGCAGCCAAGGATGCAGCCTGCACTAGAATACCCGTCACTGACTCCCAGTTCCTTCTGGATCTTCTCACCCAAAAGTCTTATCCCATCACAAGGGAACCAGCTATACACTGGAACTTGTCTGCCCCAGTACTGGTGTTTGAAGTTACTTGACTTTCCTTTGAAAACTGAAGGTCAGAATAGAGGATGAGAGGCTGGAAATGGAGGAAGGAAGGTCAGCTTCTGCTTTTTCTAACACTTCAGTGTGAAAGGGATTAAAGATCCAAGGATGATGGTTGGGGAAAGAGGGAGTAAAATGGGCAGGCAAAGGTAAGAAATATTGGAACCTAGAAGACAATGGTAGACTTTTACCCACTGGGGTATTACAAATATGCCTCCAGGTCCCCCAGGTGATGTTTGCCTCCTGCCTTCACCTCTTTGTCTCTTTTCTCCTAAATAGGCTTTTAAACCCTATGCAGATATTTCTATGTAGTGGTAGCACTACGGTGATAGTTCTTAAGTTTGACTAGGATGACAGAGGCATCTGTGATACCTTTTAAAAATGCAGATTCTCCAGCCACAATTCATACCTGGGGAGCCAGGCATGGGAACTCAGAACGTGGACTTTAAGTAAGCTCCCAAGTGATTCTGATGCACGTTGAAGTGAGGACTCCTGCACTGATCTGCTCTGGTCTGCCCTGGTCTGTCTGATCCAAGGCTCCCCCATTGGACTTTTGCCCTACAAGCTTTGCCCCCCCCCCGCCCCTTCCTACCCTTGCCCCTTCACCTGAGTCGCTTTAGAAATTTAAGTAGTGAAGTCTTCTGTTTTATGTCACAGCTTCTCCTTAGTTTCTTTTCACCATCAGTCCCGGGGGATTCTCAGGAACACTCTCCCGATATCCTGAAGCTGTTGGCACCTCACCCTAGATTAAAGGAACACGTAGAGTCAATGGCTACTGAAGGCACCAGCCATAATCTACCAAAGTTGTCACAGGTAAAACTCAACTCACCCAGCTCGTTTGTGACGCTTCATTTGGCTGTTTTGTGGGCAAGCCTGGGGAGTGAGCCCTACCTCTCCTACTTTAGTTCCTGAGAAAGAAGAAATGGAGTGGCTAGTGGTTATGTTCTTTGTTAGAAGGTTACTTCTTAAAGATAAAACTGGATTTCAGGCATCGTCCCAGAGTTTATGATTTGTTACATTTATTTTTCAGTTCTTGGTTTAGACCCAGCTGAGAGAGATTTGACAGAACTAGAAAGGAATTGGTCCACTTCCGTTGGAGCCATTCAATGAGGTGGCTTTATCAGCCTAGGGGTGGAGCCTGGGAAAAGGGCCTGACAGCTCCTCCTTTCCTGCTTTTTTATTTGTTCAACTTGCTGGTCTTTGAGCACCAACTGATTTCCTTGTAAAGACAACTCCATTTGATTCCCAAGTGGAGGCAATTTTCTATTCCTGCAATATGCCTTATACACATAAGTAGATTTCCAGTACCTATTTGAGGATGAGAAAAGGAAAGCAATTTGGGTGGGGTTAAGTTCCTGGGAGGAAGACAGGTATTTGTGCTTTTCTTTGAAAACAAAGGAACAGAACCACGGAGTGGTTCTGTTCAGGAACAGGCCTGACTTTCTCAGCAGAGGGAAAGTGGACAGCCACTGGGGTGCAGACTTGAAGGCAGGGTTTAGTGCTGACTACCTCAACTCCTTAGGGCTGCAGTCCCTGCTCCACTTGGGCCCTGTGTTCTTCCCCTGTGTGGAAGCCCTGGGATCTCTGTGGCTTCTTGCATTCTCTGGCAAGTGGAAACCTTCTTTCCCTGCTCAGGAGAAGGAATGAAATGCAGGTGTGTTCATCTCAAAGAGGGGGAAGGCAGAACTCAGAGTATCTCCTGAAGTCAGAGAAGCCCTAGTGCATTTCAGTCATTGTATGAGATCATGATTATATGTGTAAGAACACTAACACTGAAGCAAAGTGCCTGGGGTAACTTCTAATTGTAATTCAATCCAAAATGAAGAAAAAGACCACCCCTGGCTTTCCAGTGAGAGCCAGCTGGGGATCAGGATGGGGTTTCCACCCCAACTGTGCTTTGCAAAGCAGTGTCCTCCTGTGTAGACAATGCCTAGGGCTCATGAGAGTTGAGGATACAGCATTGTTATGGTGCTGGGAAAAAAACCCTGAACTCCCCAAGTTAGAGACTGAGAAAACCCACATCCTTTTTCTCCTCACTTCATTCTTTTCTCCTAACCTCATGGCTCTCATTTTTCATCTATCTACCAATTTTTTGGCAGGGGTTGGAAGGGAAACAGGAACATAGGCATTTGGACCTGTAGACTATGGGTTTAGAATAGAGAGGGATTCTCCTGGTAAATCTGCATAAACACTTTGTCATTGGATTTATTTGTAAATCCATTTTCAAATATCCCTCTCCTGGACAAACATTCTTTGAAAGGCTAGAGACATTATTCATTGTTTTACCCAATGATTTTGTCTCTTTTTCAGATTTCTTCCTCAAAATCTAGTAAAGGGAATAGTTTGGCCCTAGTTCATTTGACCAGTATAAGATACAGCTCTGGAGCATGAAGTAACTCTGCAGGTCTATGGACATACCTGTGACAAAGCCTTACTTAAAGTCCTTTTGGAGCTGGGCTGTGGGGCTCCCAGCTAGCCTAGAATGGCAGCAAGGTGAGAGGAAGCACTGAGTGACAGGATACCCTTACTGCATGCCTTGCTTTCCCTAATGTTGATAACCTTGGAATCATCTGGGTAGGAGAGGGGACTGGTGCTGCATCTTACATTTCTCCCCTTCACCACTGCCCAAGGAATCTCTCCCCTACATGCCTTTCTGTCCTTGCCTAGGGAAGTCCCTCCACTCTTCCCATACTGGGCATGCCTTTGTCATTGATGATATGTGGGCAGACGTAGGAAGTATGCCTTATAACTACCCTCCCCGGTTAAGCTACATGTCCCCTAAATGATCAGAGCTGTGTAGTTCTCTCTCTGTCCCTTGTGGAATGAATATCAGAGCACAGTGTTGGTCCTTAGTAGATTCTGATGTTTGGCTCTTTCTTCATCCAGGAAAATACAGAGCTCCCACATTGTTCCAGTCAGGAAGATGCAGTAGCCAGTGGAGACTGTAAGAGCCTGATGAACCCAATGAAAGTAAAGGAGGATGGGCAACAAGGTGGTGACATGAAAGACCAGGAAGGAGAAGAGGAGAACAGGGACTCTGCCTCTCTAGAAGCTGCCTCCATCAAGACTGGCAAATGCCAGGAAAAGAAAAGGAAACACTGTCAGATTGAACCCCAAGACACAGGGGTGCCTAATAAGGCCTCTAAGCCAGGTACAGACTCTACCCAGGGTTAAAGGGGCTTGGAGGAGATGCCTGGGTTCCCCAGTATATACAGGTTTTTTGCTCTCCATATAAGGGCTCCTGAGGCTCTGGGTGTGTGGCCCTGCTCTGGCACTTAGCTGTGACACCTCAGGAGTTGCTAGGAAGTTTCCATGAGAGTATGCACAGTTCCTAGCATACTGCCAGTGCTCAAGAATAATTATAATGGGAAGCCAAGGCATAAGGTCAAACACAGTCCCAAGTAATAATATCCAATGCCCTTGATGGTGTCACTTATGGCCAGGCCAAACTCTCCCTACTCTGATCCCTGTTCCAGGAATGAAGGACCAGCTGTGTGATCAGGCCACGCTCTGCTCATTCCCAGTTGTGTTTCTGTAGGTAGGCATCTGAGAAACAGCAGCTGCAGCTCAATAGCTTTCCAAGAGAGGTGGGCAGTGCCAAGATTAAGTATCAGCTTTGAAGGCGTGGCTCACTCAAAGGAGTTGCTGCTGCTGCTCCTGCTGTATGAAATGCCTGTTGTGCTGGAATGAAGTCCCCAGGGTTCCTGGACATCCCCTAACTTGCACTTCTCTTTTAATGGGGCTGCTGGACACCTTGAGAGTCTATTTCAGGGTATCCCATTTTCAGTGGGTCAGGTGGTCATTAAATCAACTTTCTAGAAGGGGGTGAGAGTGGAAACCAAAAAAGTAATTGGGATTTTTAGCCTCAGAAATACAGTCTGTGAAACCAAGGTAGCTCCAGCTCTAATTTATTGCTTTCTAAATTGCAGATCCTCCCACTGATATGGGGGCCAAACCTGCTCTCAGTGTTCCCCTAGCATCTTTTGATGCATCTGACCTTGAATGCTCCCTATGTATGAGGTATGTGATATGTGGTATCACCTACTGCCTGAGCACTCTTCCTCTCTGGTGTGTAGATCTTTCTGCTAGCGACCTACTGCTCCATCGGTTAGAACATAAAAACATGGTTCTAGCGAAAAGGAGATTACATCAATTGTGACATAGACTAGCTTGTGTCCTCTGTGTACTGATTGCATTCCCTGCATTTGGAAATACTGAGAGAGTGGGAAGAAATGGCCTACTCAGAGGTCACAACCTGGTAGCCCACAGGCTAAATGTCTCGTGTTTTGTCTTCAACGGGATTTTTTGTTGTGAAATGTGAATATCCTGAGACAGGACACACACTCTCCAGTTGGTAATGGCCCCCCCCCTCACTGCCTTACCTTAGCCTGCATCTCACATTTACATCACTTTCCTGGCCTTTGTAGGTATCTAGATTATGACTCTGAAACTAATGCTAACTACTGGATCAAGACCTCAAAGCTCAAGGACTAATGCCAGTGCCATAGGTCTATGTTTTGGAAACAAAGTAGAAGACCTGCCTAGTGTTTGTTTTGTTCCATGAAGAGAATTAGTAGTAAGCCTGTACTGCTTGGCCAAGCATCTTTCCTTTGCCCAGTGCCTTATCATCTGTACTTTTTCAGATTTCTTGAGACAAATTATCGAAATGCCTCTCTGCCCTGCCAAAGGAAGTTGCTATAATCGTAGTCTATGTGAAAAAAATACTTTCATTTGTTTTAATTTCAAAGCTGTGACCTTGTGGCTAAGAGGAGGTGCTCCAAAGGTAGATGGCTTGGGTTTGAACCATGGCTCTTCCACTTACTGGCTGTTGGACCTGCAACAAATGACTCTCTGCGCCACTGTTTTCTCATCAGTAAAATAGATAACAGTAGTCCCTATCCCATGGGGTGGTTACGATTAATTGAGAAAATCTATTTAAAACAATTAGCATAGTGCCTGACACAGAGTAAGTACTCAATAAATATTAATTACTTTTTTATCTTAGACCATAGGTTCCTTTCTTTAGGTCCATGAAGAGGTTCCATGTATACATTCTAATAGATCTACAGATTCCCTGATGTTGTATGTAAATGTGTACAAGGACCACAGTTTTCAGTAAAGTCTCAAATCTGTCTTTTTTCTAAAAGAACACAAGAGAAGATTGAGATACTTGCACAAAAGTTGTTCAGATGGTTGAGACAAGAGAAGATATGTCAAGAAAAAATCTTTTGGTCCACCATATAGTAGGATCCAGCCAGCAGAGGATCCTCAGATGTTTTCTTGCCCTTTACAAGCCTTCCATATCAATCACATCCATTTGTACTCAGAATGATTTTTCTTGCCATCCTGAATAAAAATGAGTAAGGCAGCCATTACCTTAACATGTACTTTTTGTTTCTCTTAAAAGAATTAGAGTTGGCAGATTTGCTCATGAGCTCAGACAGATGTGATAATGAACAGTTCAACATATGGAATGTAGAAGCACTCAAGGAAAGCCTTCCATATATGTTGGGAGTTTGTTTTCTTTTACCACCTCCCTTTCCTCCACAACAAAGTGGCAGGTGGGTCATGCTAGAACCAAAGTATAGGATAGAGAAACTGCTTCCTAGCAGAGAAGTGGCTTCCACAGGAAATGCTATGGCGACTCTAAGCCTGTGATGTGAGTTGTGGACTTTCATATGTCAGACTTTGAGAGGCTTGATTCGTCTTGCTCAGAAAGCCCAACTCCTTCGTGTACTTATCCCTTCTCCTGACATCCAGGGGACACAGAATAAAAAACACAGACTCATCCTGTTTGTGTTTTCCCTGAGGACTAAGAATCCTGAGGTTGAAGTTCTTTTGTTCCCTTTCCTCTGTTTTCTCCCTTTCATCTTGTTTGTCCCTGGTCTCAACAGGGGGCTTCAGAGAAGGGTTAGAAATCTGGTCCAAGAGGTAAACACCAAGATAAGACCCCTTTTAGTTTTCTTGCTCTGAGTTTAAAAGCTATTATTTCCCTTATCCTGCCCCCTCTGTTCCAAGTGAGACTTCAAAACAAAAAGCCATGTTTGAAGTAGCTCTTTTATAGGTCAGGAAGTTATAGGGGGACCCTAGATGCTTTATGGCAAAAAGAAACCTGCCAAATTCAGAGAGCATTTTTTTCTAAAGGCTCTTAAAACTGTAACCCTTGGTTAGAAGCATGTAGTTCCCCTTCCAACAAGGTTTGTCTCTAAGTCACAAATCAGAAGTTGATAGGGGCTATTTTCATATACCTGTTTTAGCTTGAATTATTGTAGTCTTGAAAAAGCTCCTGTTTTCACTTCTCTTTTAGTGTTTTTCTTCTTATTATTGTGACTAGGATTATTATTAGGTTTTATTATGACCCTCATGTGTCTTTGTGGGAGAAGGTCTAAGGGGACATATATTTTAAAGCAATCTGCTGGGTCATGAACTAGACATTTGTATCTTCTATGCAAGTTTCTAGAATTAACTGCAGTCCTGTGGTGCTGCATTGGTAGAAAACAAGTTAGAGTGTGAATTTATCTATTGTGAGTCAACAGAGAAAATAAGGAGCAGCTTATAAATTCTGCAGGAAAGGGTGAAAAGGGTGAATAGAGCAATAATTGGCGGGTGTATTCATGAGGAAGTTTTCAGTCTCCAACTCTCTCTCTGCTGGGGAGGTTTCTTCCTAATTCCAACACCTAGGAATTCTGCCCCTCAGTCTTTGGTGACAGAAAATCCTCCCTTGAGATTTACCTGATATGGATACCCTAGCCATGGGGTGTTACCTCTGGGGCTCCTGTAGAGAAGTACTTTTGGGGTGACAAGAATATTTTGAGATATGGAGCAAGAATGTTTGATAGCTGAACCAGTTACCTAATGACCCAGTGACCTCTTTGTCAATTAAAACAAAAAAACTTCATATTTAAACTAGGTTTAGCTACTCAACTACCTGGGTGTTAGGGAGTCAGTTCTTTCTGTTCTATTCTATTTTCTCTCCCTCTCTCTATCTCCCCCTCCTTCTCTGTTCCTCTTTGCTGTCATTCGATAGCACAGAGGAACACAATACAAGGATGTAACTGGTGAGAAAAGATAGCTACTTTCAGATAACCTAAACATTTTATCCAGACTGAGATCTAACTGAAAACATTTATTATTATCATTGTTCAGTCCCTCATGTGACAAGGTAAAATGTTTTCTTGTGGAAAAATCTGGCTCTATTCTGATTTGTAAATGTACCCATGAAGTGTTTTCTGAAATCATTCTCAAAAGTGGTAAAGAAAAGGTAGAAGAATTCAAGAGTATATCTGTTGTCTATCTATCTATCTATCTATCTATCTATCTATCTATTCATCCACCCATATATCTGTCCAGAGTCGTCTCTCAGGGTAGAGGAGAAGGGAAGGAAGGAAACAAATGTAGGGAGAAAAGTGTGTATGAGTATGTGCTTCTACACATACATGGATTGATGTCTGTTCTAGAGATAGAGGTACATACAGTCATGGCCATGTCTTATGGTGGAGAAAGAAGATGCGGCTGGGAATCAGATGTGACATCACAGCCAAGCCCTCATTAGCCATGTGACCTTGGGCAAATTATTTAACCTGTCTGGATCTTAATTTCCTCAGTAGTAAAATGGAGCTAATAATAATTACTGCCTATTAATATATAAACTTAATTTATGTGAAAAATAGTATTGTACACACTGAGAATAGCAAGAGGACAATAGGAACAACATTCTATCTGTTTGTAATTACTTTATTCAGTCAGCCTTTGTAGTACAGTCACCCTGGATATAGAAGTGAATTCAATGTTGAAAGGTGATATATCTAAGCATTTGAACCTTGAGTTATTTCAAAGCAATAATTATGCACCATCTGTGACAGCACTTTTGTTTGTGATCATACAGATCAGGGCCATTTTAATCATAGCTCTTACAAAGAGTTGCTGTATCCTTTTGTATCTATATCACTCTGCTCATTAAATGTCAGTAGTTATTGCAATTAATTAACCAGCTATATCATTGTCATTTTATGTGAATGACATTGTTAAATGAACTAAAGATCCAATACTGAAATTCTCAGGCAAAATAGTTTTGCAGATACAGATTCATCAATCATCTTCATCATTAGCCTCATTGAATAATGTAAAGCATTCTGATTCATGAGACTGACATTACTGAGGAAGTGAGATACTCTGGTTTGGCTGTGTTAGTACTTAGACCACAGCATGGGTCCCCAATCAGCCTGTAAATCACACTTTTGCACAACATTTTAATTGTGAAATCTACATGGTGGAAAAGTACATAAATACAAGTGTATGCTCTTACCAAAATATTGTAAAAGGACACTCATGCAACCCATCTCGGTTCAAGAAATGAGAGTGTCAACACCCCAGATGCTGACCAGACACTGCTTTCAAATCACAACTCCCTCACCCTCCTCCTGAAACCATTATCTTCACTTTTATCTTTTCTTTAAAAAGATAGTTTTACCACCCATGAATGCATCTCTAAACAGTGTAATTTAGTTTTGCCTATTTTTTTAAAAATCCATTATGTAAATGAAATGATCCCAAATGTATTCTTTTGTTCTGCTTTCTTTCCCTCAGTATTAAGATTTACCAATGTTATTACAGGTAGGTGAAGTTTGTTCATTTTCTTAAGTGTATGTATATTGTCTCACTGTATGAATCTACCACAATATTAGTTCTATTACAGATGGATATTTGGGCATTTTCTAGTTTGGGGCTATTATGAAGAACATTGCTACAAACAGTTTTTATGTATACTGGTGCATATAAGTCTTTGCCCATTTTTTATTAGGTTCTCTCTTTTTTTCTTTTTTAAAAATTTTATTTAGTTATTTTTCAAGTACAGTTTTATGTCTATTTCTCCCATTCCAGTCTCTTTTTTTCTTAATGACTTGCAGGAACTCTATATATGCTCTAAATACAAGTCTTTTGTTAGTCAGTAGTGCTACAAGCATCCTCTCTCATTCTGTGGCTTGCCTATTTGCTCTCTTAATGACATCTTTTCATGAACTTACAAGTTCTTAATTTTAATGAAGAAAAATTACCAATCTCTTCAGTTATAGTTAGTGTATTTTGTATGTGTCTTGTTTAAGAAATCTTTTTTTAAACCTTGAGGTCATAAAGATATTCTGTTCATCTTCTAAAAGCTTTACTGTTTGTCTTTCACACTTATTTTTACAGCTCACATGGAATTGATTTCTGTGTATAGTGTGAGAAATGGTTTAACTCCATTTCCCTCTGTGGATAACCAACTATTCCCAAATAGCACTTATTGTGCTTGCTTCAGCAGCATATATACCAACTAGCATGTATTGAGAATGCTATTTATGCACTGAAAATCTCCCTTCTGTTTTGAAATGCCACATTTGTCATAAATCAAGAATCTGTGTCTGGATCTATTTCTGGGCTTTTCTATTCTACTCTACAGATTTATGTGTCCTTGTGCTAGTCCTATACTGTTTTAATCACTAGAGCGTTATAAGTTCTGACATCTGGTAGACCAAGTCCTCGACATTATTGCTCTTCAGAAGTGTCTTGGCTTTTCTTGGTCCTGTGGCTTGCCTTATAAAGTGTAGAAATCAACTTGTTCCACAAAAACAAACACACAAGTGAAATAACCTGTGGGATTTGTATTGGTGCTTATTTAGATCTTCTTTATTTTCTTTCAGTGAAGTGTTTATAGTTGTTTCCGATAGACGCCTTGTACAACTTTTGTTAGATTTATTCTTGGTACTTGATTTTGAAAAGCAATTGTAAATGTCATCTTTAAAAATCAATTTTCTCATGTTTGTTGCTGATATATAGGATACTGTTGTATGTGTAGTTTTGTAGCAATCTTGTGAATTCTAGCAACTTATTAATTCTAATAATCATTAGGTAGACTCTCTTAGATTTTTTAAGTTCATCATCATACTATTTGTGAATAATGACAGATTTGGTTTTTTTCTTCCCAGTTCTCAAACTTTGATTTATTTTTCTTTTTGCCTTGGTGAAGCAGTTAGGACCTCCATCATAAAGAGGGTCTTTTGAAAATTAATTTTACTTTTTGGACAATTTAATAGCTAAAATGTATTACTTGAAAGTAAGTTAGTTACTTTCAAAAAAGGATTATAACATTCGAAAAGTAAAACAAGGTGAATATATGAAAAGTCTCACTTCTACTCCAGACTTACAAGGTCTTGTTAAAAATATCAAATCCCTGTCTCTTCCCTTGACCTGCTGATGGACAAAGTGTATCCAGTGGGGCTTCGCCATGTCTACATGTTTAAAGCTCCACAGGTGACAGAAGGTTTGTTTCTGCAGAGATTAGTAAGAGTGTGTAATACAGTGGTTCTCAACTCTGGTTGCACATTAAGACCACCCAAGGAGTTTTAAAAACTCCTGATGCCTGGCCCTTACTCTGAACCAACTGATCTGAATCTCTGCGGATGTGGTCCCAAGCATGTGTAGTTTTTAAAAGTCCCCCAGGTGATGGGGAGTGCAGGATGAGGAGAGTGGGAGGGAGGGTTTACAAAGGGGCATGAGATGTTTGAGGGTGACGAATATGTTCACAATCTTGATTGTGGAGATGATTTCATAGGTGTGTGTATATGTTACAACTTATCAAACTGTATACTTTAAGTATGTGCAGTTAATTTACAGGTCAATTATACATCAATAAAGCTGTTTAAAGAAAAAGCTCCCCAGGAGACTCTCACTCACAGCAACAGTTGAGAATCATTGTTGTAATAGAAAGAACACATGACTGGAGAGAAGTTGAAGATCCTTTCATTGGCCAACAGTTAGCTGTGTACACGTAGATAAGTAACCGAATCCCCCCTAGACTTCAGTTTCATTCTGGTTGGTGAGATTAATTTTTTCTCAAGTACTTTTCAGCTCTGATATTTTGATTCTTCTCAGTCTGGCAGTGTGGGCCAGGCTGCTGATGCACCTCTCAGCCAAAGCCTCATGAGGGGGCTGTGCAGCTGGCAGCCTCTTTCATCTGACGCTCCTGTGAGGTCAAAATAGTCTGGTCATGGTCTTTCCCTTCTTTCTGTCCTCTTGGTGAGTGGGAGCTCCATTTATAAACCATCATTTTCAGCTGCCCCAACCCAGTGGTTCTGCTACAGGTGAGCCTTTCTTTAAGCAAAGTAAATCCATGAATCTCTCAATGTACAGAATAGCTTTTAAAAAGACCCCCAGATTTCTTTGAAAAAACATCCAACTCTCACAAAACAATTAAAATAAAATTTAATTGAAGTATATATATGGATACATATGTATATATCTACATATGTATGTATCTATCTATCTATCAGTAAGCACATTAATAATATTATTCTACTGCTCCTAGAACAATGATTCATTCATACAAAAGGCAGTTATATTGATATGTTTGTTACAGGTGCAATTTCAAGATCCTTCAGGGAGTAAATATTGCATAGGTACAAAATAGAGTCAAGGTTAGCAAAGAAACCAAGTCTTTTTCCATTACCATGTGATATAAAGTGGTTAAACAGGTAAACATATGAATATGTGAGTATTTATCTATCTGTGTGTTTGCATACACTCAAGTGAAGAAGTTGGCTAAATATGTTAGAACAGAAGAATCTATTCAGACACGCTGGGTATTCATCTATAGACAGTGAAAAAAATCTGGATGCCCCAGAAGAGACTGACTAGAACTAATGTTACAAAGTGATCTAGCTATGTCCTGAACTTTAATAAATGCATTATTTCACAATTCAGCTCAGAAAGAAAAAGCAAATGCTTTTCTGAAGTGCAACAACATGGATTAAGAAAAAATGAACTCCCCCCAACGCGCAAAATTTTCTAAATAATACTATAAAACGTTAAAATTCAGTAGCTCTGTCTTTTATTTTTGGTCTTATTGTAGTTTTCTTCCATTTTGATTTCTAAATTTCAGATTATTCTATGAACCAGTCACAACACCTTGTGGGCACACATTTTGCTTAAAATGCCTTGAAAGATGCCTAGATCACAATGCCAAGTGTCCACTGTGCAAAGATGGTCTTTCACAGGTAAAACATTGTTTCTTTCCTGGTTTGGTTGGAATATTTGGAATTGGGTACTTAATAGTGTCCTCTTGGATCCCCAGCCACTGCACTGTGCTAGGGCAAAATACCTGCTCAGACCATCTGTCTTTCTCCTGTTTTACAGCAAACCCCTCCCCTCTCCACAAAGTCCTTTAGAAAAATGAGGCAATATCTGGCTTTTTAGAAACTGTTGGTAATGAAATTAATTTGTATTGGAAACAAAAGTATTACATTGATGATAAACATGGATCTTGGTTCTAATCCCATTATGGCACCTGATTCACTGTACTGTTGAGTCAATCTTGTATTCTCTCTGGGCTTGGACTAGAAGAGCTCTATGTCCCCTGTTAATTCTGTGGTTTGAAGAGATCATTCCCAAGGCTGCAGAAACCTCAATGGACCTTCAGTGTCATCCTTCTTCTGCCCCTCAGAAGCCACTGTATTTATTAGTAGATTTTTGGCTACTTGAAAAGCTCTGGGACTTCCAGGTCCTCTAAAATGAATCACACAAATTACCGCCTGGCTTTTTCAAATGGACCTGATGGAATTTTCTTTGGCACAAGAAGACCAAGGAGTCCATTTTGTTTTCCTTCCCTCAAGAACTTGCATGCCACATTTTAAAATCGGTATTAATGTTCCTTGACTCCCGCCATCCTTGAGGAGAGGTTGGAGACACAAGACCATTTCAAGGTGAATATAGGTCCAGATAAGTCATATGTTGAGCTTTACCGACACTACAACATTTAAACTAAGGCAATGGAGTGAAATAAGCATCCAGGATAATCCTGAGGGTTAGTATTGGGTTGGGGGAGGGTCAGTGTCATAACCTTGCCTAGGTAAAGGGATAGGAGTTGCTGCCGATTGTATGTGAGAAGCACACAGTCCTTATACTTAAATAATACATTTGTATTACGGTAACATTGCAACATTTAGATAAACTGAAAAAAAAGTCTACCATTATGTTCATTATGTGGAGAAAACCATCATTAACAGTTTAGTATGTGCCTTTGCTGGGTTTTTGTTTTAGCATCAGCAGAAGACTCACTTCCTTCTTGAGTTAGCTACCTCCTGAGTCTTTGCTTTCCCCCAAGACGGGGACAGGGCAAAGCAGTCGGTTTTCTTGCAGCCATGCAAAGACGGTGGCTGATAAGGTATCCTACAGGCAGATGCTGTAGGATCTCAGACTTAGGGGCTAGAAGATATTCTCATCTATGTCTTTGTATTCACACAGGATCACACTTACGCCATTTGTCAAAGAGATAAATATCGTATGCTAATAATATTTCCTGCAGAGCCCTGGCTGGTGTACCTCAGTGGATTAAGTGCAGGCCTGCGAACCAAATGACTGTGGTTCAATTCCCAGTCAGGGCACATGCTTGGGTTGCAGGCCAGTTCCCAGCAGGGGACACACAAGAGGCAACTACATATTGCTATTTCTCTCCCTCTCTCCTTCCATTCCCCTCTAAAGATAAAGAAATAAAATCTTTAAAAAATTTCCTGCAGAATAGGCAGACCTAGCCCATACCAGGAAAGGGAATACATTGTCTGAAGTCAGCAGTTTTATACTCAGGAGCTCTCCCTGCTGGGCCTGTGTGGGTAGCTTCCATAGTGAGCAACTCTGCAGATGCTTTATTGCCTGGTCCACACAGTTAAATGCCCCGTACTTACAGATGTCTGGATATGCTTGCAGTAAGGGGTTTGGGTAGAGAGTAATAGTGACAATGAGACTGAGTTCAGTTCTGAAATAATGTTTATAATATAATTTCAGTGATACCTAGATGGTGTATTTAAAAAAATAGACAAACAAAATCACCAGCATTTAACTTTTTTTTAAGATAGAGAAGAAAAATATTTACACTAGAAATATCCAAAAGACAAACATTGAGATGGTGTGGGAGTGGGGCGGGGCAGAAGAGAATCAATGATTGAGAATTGCTTTTTAGTTCCCTGAACCTTTTGACCACGGACATTCAGCAAGTCCCAGGTGGAGACCATTTCTGTGAGCTTGAAAACACAATAATAGAAATGAGAAAGGGAAGGATTCCTCCCCTACCCCCACCTTTTAAAATAAGAACATGATCTCAATTTCAGTGTTTAGGGAAAGCAATGAAATTTTAAAAACATAAATGCAAGTCTTTTCCCCTTGTTAGAATACTTTTTCTTTTTTAGTTTTTAAGCATATTAAATTTTATTGACCTTCTGATTTTTTAAAACACTTAATCTCTTTCATTTTTAAAAGATTTTATTTGTTTATTTTAGAGAGGGGAAGGAAGGGAGAAAGAGAGGAAGAGAAACATCAGTGTGTGGTTGCCTCCCACATGCCCCCTATTGGGGACCTGGCCTGCAACCCAGGCATGTGCCCTGACTGGGAATCGAACTGGCAACCCTTTGGTTCGCAGGCCAGTGCTCAATGCACTGAGCCACACCAGCAGAGGCTAAAAAAAGTTAATCTTAAGGTCATACCTCTAAATTTAATGTACTATATACAGATTGTTCAGAATAAGACTATGAAGAGATACAAATTAGTCCATGCCCAAAAAGATTTACTAAAGAATCATCTTCATAAAGACCTATAAAATTCTTGTGAAGATAGGACTGTCCAGGTTTTCTGAGACACTTTCAAAGTAATACAAGGCACAAAATCACACCATTGTGAATATACATATATTCCAAGCTTCGTGCTTCTAATACAGCCCATCAAAGATTTGGCTTCATAAATACTTTTTCTAATTAGAATAATCAAATGTATGTGTTTTTTAATCTGTATCAAATTTATTGGGGTGATATTGGGTAATAAATTATAGGTTTCGACCATACAGTTCTATAGTAAATCATCTGTATATTGTATGTTCATCGTCCTAATTCAAGTCTCCTTCTGTCACCACTTATCCCCCCCTTTAACCTCTTCTACCTCCACCCACCCCCTTTTCCTCTGGTAATCACCATACTGTTGTCTGTTGTTTTTTTTTTTTTAACTGTAACATCCAGAGAATACATACATTATGATAGTATCAGCTGCTAATGTGTGGGTCCAAATTACTCCCATATGTGGGTCATTTGACTAGTCTACTGAATGCATCAGAAGTGTTTTGTGTTTTTCTAATGACTGCATAAAATGTCTAATTGCCTCATTCCTCATATAGTGCTTGGCATCAAGAAAATACAGCAAAAATATCATAATGGAAGAGCTAATAGCTAAATTTCTTCCAGAAGAACTCAAGGAACGAAGGAGGCTTTATGAAGAGGAAATGGAAGAACTTTCTAAGTATGTATATGCAGGTTTCTATTTTCAAATTTCACTCATACCAGATCACAGAGCTGAATGTGCACATTTCTTCTTAACTCTTCATTAAGTGATGTCATGTTGGTAGCTTGAAATTGGCCATGATGAAAGTTTTTACACCATGAAAATTGGCAAATGTTATGTAAACCAGGGATTTTTTTTTCCCCCTAGAAAGTCAGTTGTTCAACATTTACCAGCACTCTGTTGAGGAAGCATTAGCCAAACCACTGACCAGGTCAGATCTTGGCACTAGTGACTGAGTGTCACTGGCAGGAGTAAGTTGGAACAACTTAAGTGTCTAGAAGTATCCAGGAGACTGTTTTCAAATATATAAGGAGGTGCTGTGAGGTTAAGAACTTTGGTGTCAGCCAGACATGGGATCATGACCCACTTTTGCCACGAAGTAAATGTACTTCATGACCCTAGGCAAGTTACTTCACCTCTCTGGGCCTTCATTTCCTCGTCTGTAGTTTGGGGATGGTAATAGTTCTCACTTCATGGCTTGTTATGAAGATCAAATGAGCTAGTGCCTCGTAAGCACTTAATAAATGGTAATAGTAAAAATGCTGCTTTCTCTGCCATGCACAGCTCTTGTGAAAGGTGAAGGGGAGGGATGGTGTTGCAAATAGGGCTCCAAGCTCTCTGGCTGGAAGAAAAGCTCCTTTAGAAGAGAAAGCAATAGACAATCACTAATTTCTGCCTCTCATACTGCTGCCTTCTTGTCTCCACCCCAGTGGAATCCTCACAGCATTCTGGGGGCGAGGTTCCTAATGGCAAAAGCTGTTTTGGTTTTATGCCTACCCTGTAAAGAACCATTTCTAAACTGCCACCAGTTTGTCTGAATGTCCCTCTCACTTATAACAACATGTTTTCCTGGGAAGCTAGAAATGAAATCCTCTCTTTCTCACTAACTTATATTAGGTCTTCTTAGGGCATCTTTATTTCTGATTCTTAAGTTTGCCTTGAATCTCTGAGCCCTCCTCTTGAATATTATTTAATGTTTTATTAACAAACACTAGAATACACTAGAGGGATTTCTTTTTTTTTAATTTTATTTAGTTACTTTTCAAGTACATTTTTTTTTATCTATTTCTCCCATCCCTCCCCACCCCCCCACCCGGTCTCCCCCCTCCCTCCCATTCCCCCCCCCCAGTCCTCATCTCTGTGTCTTTCATACTTGTTCCTCAAAATCCTAGAGGGATTTCTATTTAAAGGCATCATAAACTTAATCCTTTTGGGATTTGGGCAGATGGTCTTATATCTATTGATAGGTTCAGCTGTTCCTATATTGGACTTACTAGACGAATAAGAGAACAGGAATCCAGGAGGAGCTGGCCCAGTTGGTGGTACCTCTTAGACTGTGTGTCTGAATCTTCATGGGCACTTGTTGAAGGGCAGACTCCCGAGTCCTGATTCCAGAGCTATTGCACCAGGGTCTCTGGGGTGCTACAACCTGGTTGTTGGGATTCAATGACCCCCAGTGATTCTGATATACAGGTGTATTTGACTATCACTAGGCTAAATTACTCTTGCTTTTCCACTGCTCCCTCCTTCTCCCAGATGGACCTGCCAGCCAGATCTTCTAGGGACTTTACAAATTTGAGGTGCTCATGGTGACTCTGCAGAGAATTTCCCACCATGCTTCTGGAGATCTGGCTCTACTTATACCATCAGTACCATTCTCCATACTGCAAGCAAGACACCTGGAGAGATTGTTTGAGTGGAGGGCATGAAAGAAAAAAGTGGAATACAACTGTCACCTACCATGTTAATGTACTGAGAACTTTAGCCAAATTACATTGTATAGAATGTCAATTTTTCTCTCTGAGCCCTTAGGCTAACCCCATCATGAGACTCAGTCCACAGCATCAGTTGTATTTCAGTATTTTTTTTTTTATCAGCCATCAAAACTTGATGTCTCCTGGCCTTCCTGTGAGGAAACCGCACGGTGATATTTGATCAACCTTTCTGTGTTGTGCTCTATTTTATTGAGAACCATGTCATTTGCTTTCCCTGACAGCTTAAATAAGAACGTGCCTATTTTTGTGTGTACTATGGCCTATCCCACTGTTCCTTGTCCCCTGCACATCTTTGAGCCTTGTTACCGTCTGATGATTCGTAGATGCATTGAGACAGGCACAAGACAGTTCGGCATGTGCCTTGGAGATCCCATCAAAGGGTAAGTGAGTAGCTATGTGAGTCTAGAGAGATGGATGGAGAAGGTTTTTATTTTACCTTGGGGCTCTCCCAGGAGATTGGGAGGCACAGCTCATGAGACTTAGCCAGCTTATGATCATGAGTCTTTGTAAGGATCAGGGTCCCTCTAGCCCCTGGTTTATAATATGAGAGGCTTCCTATTTAAAGGAACCTCAGGATTACTCTTTTGTTAAATGGGTAGTATATGCTATAAAACTTATTTTATAAGAGTGTGGGCTCTTGCCCTGGCTGGAGTGGCTCAGTGCATTGAGTGCCGGCCTATGAACTAAAAAGTAGCGGTTCAATTCTCAGTTGGGGCACATGCCTGAGTTGTGGGCCAGATTCCTGGTGGGAGGCATGCGAGAGGCAACCAGACATTGATGTTTATCTCCCTTTCGTTCTCCATTCCTTCTCCTCTCTCTAAAATTAAATAAAATAATTTTTTTAAAGGCTAAGATTAAAAAATGCTTGCTTTAAAAAAGAGCATGAGCTTTGGAGTCACGCTGCTTGAATTCATATTCTGGCTTTAGCCTTGGAACAAGTTTGTCTTTGGGGAAGTTACTTACCCTTTCTGTGACTCAGTTTCTTATCTGTAAAACGGGTACAATGAGAATGCCTACATCATTGGGTTTGTTGGGAGGACTGGTAAGTTCATAATTAAAACAAAGCACCAAGCACAATACCTAGCCCATGGTATGTGCTCAATAAATGGCAGTTATACTAATACATTAAGATATTTTTTCTCACACAGGCACTGCCTGTTGTGTAGCTGTAGCTGTAGATCCTGGGACAGATGAATAGGCATAAGTCCCTTGAGGTGCAGCATGGGATTGTGGAAATGGCTTGGAGAGGTGAGAAATAACTCAGGAAGATTTCACTTTCTTGACTTTATTTCCAATAAACAGGTTTGCAGAATATGGCTGCATCCTAGAGATCAGAAATGTTCAATTCTTTGCTGATGGCCGTTCAGTGGTCGACAGCATAGGCAAGAGGCGCTTCAAGGTCCTCCATCAGGGCCAGAGGGATGGCTACAACACAGCCGACATTGAATACATTGAAGACCAAAAGGTAAGAGTGGCTAATGCCAAAAATTCTAAAGCCAGGCTGTTCCTGTGGTTTAGCAGATGGAGATGGCTGTAAAAAGATTTCTCAGCACCACTGGGGACCTTGGGATTTCTCATCAAATTGGTGCAGCAACCTTGAATGCTGCCAGATTGCTACTGGGTTGTAGACTGGTAGTGAGAACACCCCTGTTCTGGCTCTTCCTGCTTAGTTGCTGAGTTGTATTCATGGATAAGAAATGCCAAGGCAGACCAACCTTGGTGCCCATTCACCTAGGAGTTAGGTCTCTTTCAGGGGAAGAAGGAGATAGATCTCAAGAGGGGTCTACATATGTGTATTGTTTCTATCAACTTATTTACATTTTAAAACTTTTTCTTTTGAGATAATTGGAGATTCACATTACAGTTGTATTTTTAAATGGGCAACCTGGCTAACAGCCCTTTCCACTAATGCATCATCTTATAGGTAGAAAGGTGGCATGTCTGGTTAATCTTTTGTTTTCTGGACTATTGGGCGGAAGAGGAAGTAAATAATCCATGTTCACTTATATTTACATTTACTACATAGAACACTATTAATAAGTATTTGATCAACAAAAAAAATGTATTCAACTTGGAAGACGGAGTTATAAAAAAAAGTGAGAAACAGACACTTTTGTGTCTTTCTTCCTAGTGAGCAATGAGAAAGCAGATGCAACAAATGAAAAGGAGACATAAGCCAGCATAACCTAGTTTAAGAGCATGCCTCCACTCAGGCCAGTTTGCATTTCTGGTTTTCTATATGTGATGCTGTTTTGGCCAATTTCCCCAGATGAATCTTTCTCTTTCCTCTACCCGCAGCTGTATTTACACATAGTCCATCACCTAGCTGAGGAGCCCTTCACATACCACACAAAGAAAGCTGGGTGGGTGAGCCTTCCCATAGGGGGATAGGATGGATGTTCAGGAGAGTCAGGTGCCAACAGTGGCTCTGGGCGTTATGGAAAAGGTACAGAATGTTTCACCTCCACTTTGATTCTTTTAGGTTCAAGGAGAGGATTGTGCTGAGCTCATGGGATTACATAACTGTGTCTATGAGCAAGCATCATCTTGGTTTCATTCGCTCAAATCATCTCTGAAGAATCGGATACTCAATCATTTTGGTCCAATGCCGGAGAAAGATGCAGATCCCCAGGTATATAAAGTGTCTCTTTGTAATCACTTGCCTCCATCAGATGAAAGAGCTTAGGGTTTATGATCAGATGGACTCATGGTCATCTACCAAATCAAGTGCAGAGAGCAAGGTAGATCTAATCTGGTATTGTATGGCTGGGCAATGGGCATCAAGGGTAAGACCAAAAGGACCCCAGAACTGGAGGAACTGAAATATAGCAGTACTGACTTGGGTCCAAGACAGATTTTTGAGAGATAAGTCGGGTGAGAGGTGGGAACACAGACACCATCAACAGTGGGAGTCCAGATTTACACCATAGTAATGTGTTAGGGCAACATGAATCACACAAAAGCCAGGCTTAAGAGAAGGGTATCCTGGGACCAAAGGCTGCCACTTCCGGGCAGCTTAGTAACTCTCTCCTCCATTGCTGCAGGGGATAGAAAATAAGGACTGCTACATTAAAGGATACCAACTGTAAGACCACAGCAACTTTTCATGCCCTGGTCCCTCCATGTTTCATCCTGCAGGCCTAGACCCTTGTCATTGTCCTCATCCAGGGTGGGAAGGACCTTAGAAAACTGACCCAATCGTTAAATTTGCAGTCTCTGATTGGTGTGGTTCAGTGGATTGGGTATCACCCTGAGAACTGAAAGGTCTCTGGTTTGATTCCTGGTGAGGGTATATGACTGGGTTGTGGGCCAGGTCACCAGTTGGGGCCATGGGAGAGGCAATGAATCAGTGTTTCTCTGGTACATCAATGTTTCTCTCCCTCCCTTACCTCTCTAAAAAATAAATAAATAAAATCTTTTAAAAATAGTTAAATTTACCATTGGCTGAATTATATGAGAAAACAATTCATTGGGTTCTACTGGGTCAGTCTATTTCCTAGAGAGACAGTTCTCTTTGAGAGATCAAAGTGCAGATCACAAGCTCTCCAGGTGAATGGAGATAATTAAGTTCCATCAGGCTTTGCTTGCCTGGTATAAATCAGAAAGCACTCTCTTTTTGAAGACAAGGCTGGAGATATGCTAGCCAAATATTTTCCCGCAGTCACCCTTCACACATTCTGAACTGGCTCTCCTACATCATCACCTCCAGAACTTCATGGGTACTTTACTTACACTCACTCCTGACTCTGTCACAAAAGTAAAATAGAATATGTACATTCTGATTTCCCTGGCAAAATATTGGTCCTGGTTACCTTTCTAGCTGTATGACCTTGGGTAAGTCTCTACTTTTCTCCCATTTCTGAAATGAGGCAGATAGATGAAAAGGTCTCTAAAGTCTCCTAATTCCTTTTGCATTTTAAGGCTTTAAAACAGCTTATTGGGCTAAAGTGTCTTGCTGTCTCCAGACCACAAAAGTGGCTTCTTTACTCCATGCAAGAGCATCATGAATGTTGAGGGGAGAAAGGCCAGTTAGTGCTTCCCAATAACCCAGGTCCTGGCTCTGGGACACTATGGCTTGGGACTACAGCAGAGCTCTGAGCAAGCTCATGATCAAGCTTAATGTTCCCCTTCACCTTCTGGAAAGCATTCTCCCCCAGTCAGGTGGAAGATAGTGATCAGCAATGATAACAGCATCTTCCACAAAAAAAAAAACACAGATTCCACAGAGTGGCTCATAAGGTTCAGTGACAGAAAGCCAAAAGTTGGGTTTTTTATCTTTTCTTTTTTAAAAAAGATTTTATTTACTTATTTTTAGAGAGAAGGGAAGGGAGGGAGAAAGAGAGGGAGAGAAACATCCATGTGCATGTTGCCTCTCACACGCCCCCTCCTGGGGACCTGGCCCACAACCCAGGCATGTGCTCTGACTGGGAATTGAACCGAGACTGTTTGGTTCACAGGCCTGTACCCATTCCACTGAGCTATACCAGCCAAGGCCATATCCTTTCTTATTAGGACTGTTACATGTTGATTTGGAAGCAGCAGCATGAGCAAAAGAACAAGTAAAAAACCCAAATTCCATCCAGTTTGATCCAGTCAATGCTGCAGACCCAGTGGTTCCATTAATAAGAATGTGCTAAGTCTTGGGAGGAGGCTTCTTAGAAACAGCCATAGATATTAACATCAGCTTAAATATCTTCATTAATTTTCCTGGGAAACTTTAGAATATGTCTATCTAATATTCAAAACTGATAATATGAGGGAGAGGATATTACAGAATGCAGCGAGGGACAAAAACGAACCCAAATCAAGCTGGAAGAACAGAGAGGCCAAGAGAGCAGTGGTGCTTGGGGCAGAATTAGGTGAGCCAGTTTGGAGGTAGATGATCCCATGTGTAGGTGATTTGAGCAGAATGTGGTTTTCTACAGTCCTAAAAGAAACGTTCAGGAAATTGGGGGCAGAGAGCTCATTTTGGACTTAGCAGAAAGTAAGTCACCGATGTCTAAAATGTGTGTCTAGGCAGCTTCTGACAAACAGCATTTTGATGAAGGGTTTTTGTGGGATGGGAAATCTCCTTAGTAAAAGGAAACCTGAGAACAGAATGCATTTCTCATATGAATGTGCTCTCTGATTGGAATGTTTGCAAAGTGGGATTGCTGGGCTTTGGGGCTGTGAATCATAAGTTTGGTTTCAGGGGAGAAGTGAGTTGTGGCCCTACATAATGACATAGCATATGCAGACTACAGTGCCTTCAGTCAGAAGCATGGAAATGAAGGGAGTTAAGAGACATGCAAAGCCTAAGGAAGAGGCCATGGGAATGGAAAGCCCACAAGTTGTATGCATCTGTCCAGAGCACCTTAAATCTAGCCTTAGAAGTGGAAGAGACTGAGTAGTGGATATTCCAGCTTATAAAATCACACTGGCTAGGAAGTATAGTAAATATGTTAAGATATTTATTTGCTTCCTTTAATAACTACCAAAAATAAATAGCTTAAACAAGATAGCAGGCATATGTCTTGGAGGTGTAGGGCAGCTCTGTTCTATGAGGTTGTTGAGAGACCCAGGTTCCTTCCTCACTAAGCTCTACCATCCTTTGAATGTTTTCCTCGTCATCCTGATTGAAGTAGGCAGATCATCATCATGTCCATGGTTCTAGCTAGAGGAAAGGGAGAAAGAGGAAGGAAGGCGGAGGGTATGTGCCCCTTTCCCAGGACATGACCTAGAAGTCACATATATCACTTCCCTTTACATCTTAGTAGCCAGAACTTTGTCTCACAGCCTCACCCAGCTGCAAAGGAGGCTAAGAAATGTGGTCTTATTTTTCTGGGTGGCTATATGTCCAGCTAAGATAAGGAGAATAGATAAAGGGGCAATTATTAGTCTCTGCCACACACAGAAGCAGTTTCACCTAGGATATTTACCTTACTACTGTCAAAATCTGCCCATTGATATCACTTCCATGGGGATAAGATGAACTCATTTTGTTTCTCTGTTGCAGATTAATCCAAATGGTCCAGCCTGGTGCTGGTGGACATTAGCAGTTCTTCCATTGGAAAGCCGAGCTCAGCTGCCATTCCTAGCAATGAGATCCTTAAAGGATAGATTGAATGGCATTCGGCGTATCCTGGCCTTTATATCTCGAAACCAAAACTAGTCAGAGTGGATTGCTGACGAGAAAGTTCTACCCTCCCCACTGCCTAAGGGAGTTGTCTTGTAAATACATCTAATTGCAATAACATCCTAACAGAAGGAAGTATCAAACAAAGGCATTACCCTGCTGTTGATTACAGAGAGAAATTGAGAGAAAGACAAAGAATGTGACCTGTTAGAAACTTTTTGTCTTAAGATACTTCTTGACATGCTGCACAACTACACACACAGCAGGGGTGTTCAAGAGCCCAGAAAAAATATTGCTTTTAACATAAAATTTTCTAAAAGTTTAAAGTGGTTTTGCTTTAATTTTCTTTCCTTCATTGGCGAATGACTGTGTGATTGAAATGTGAAGCAGAAATACTAATAATGTTGCTACATTATTTCATTGGCTTGTGGTCCTATTCCAAATGGTTTAGTTTGATAAAGCATTGTATAAAATAATATTTATACTTCTTTTTGTTTTACTAATTTATTTTTGCACTACTGTATCCTTTTTTCTACATGTATGTTTGTAACTATTTAAGTGTACATTACTGAAGTCGGTTGCTTTATTTATTGATGTAGTTTGCCATGTAACTAGGGGGAAGTAACAAAACTACAAATGTGCCATTCTTTTATCATGTTCCTTCTTGTATGTATCAAAACTCATACCAAACAATGAGTTCTGGGTTGCAAAAGAGGGTTTATATCCACACCTATATGTAGTCTTTGCCCACAAAAAAATGTGCCATTTTTGCTTTAACCATTTTTTACTATGTTCGACCCCAGTTCTTGAACCATTTTTGTGTCTCTCTGATTGGATGCTTAAAGGAAGTTCAAAATTATGCTAAATCATCTTTCTTCACAGACTCCATTTTATTTTCACATTGAATTCAACAACATGAAATATTTAAGGGATTTGAAATAGATTGTAAAGTAAACCAGGATAAAGTAAAATAATCCATTTTCCATGTGTTATACAGAGCAAAGCTGAAGGAACTATTTTTCGGGAACAAAGTGATGAATCAGAGGAGTGTCCTTTATTACAGTCTATTATAGGCATTTATCTCGGCAATCTAATTCTAAGTGTTTCTAATTTCTCCCCAGTTCAGTTAGGAATGGGATTTTTAAGCAAGGTAACATTTAACCCTTCAGAGGGAATGGTTTTCAGATTGGTATATCACGGTTAGGTCCAACTGGCTTCCATACCCCATTTCTTCTCAGGGCTCTGAGGATCACAGCATGGCCAGAATGTGTGGAAACACTTGATGAAGAACTGTTTGTTGTGAAAAGTGTAAAAAACCTGGTAGAAAAGGTAGAATGCTTTAAAGAAAACAAACTATCACTTTGGTTTTATAATCTTTTTAAAGGAACCAGAAAGTTAATCCATGATTTTATCTAACTACTGCCTTTCTTCCTACTTGCAGTGGGCCAAAAATTTCAATATAGAGAGGGAATGGTGGATAAGGAGTGAACCCTGTTTTATCTTGCTTAGAATTAGTGTGATTCCTTTAGTTCCAAGCAAACATGAAAAATAGCATGACTATTCTGTGTTATAATGAAAGAGTGAAAAGATTAGGGCAGGGAAGAAGTGAATTGTGTGTGCCATCAGTACCTTTGCACAAAAGATTCCCCCACCCCATGATTGTGGATGGCTGCAGTGTGCTGTTTACTTGAGGCCTGTCCACTCTGTTAAGGTAAGAGGTTAATGCCTCAAATAATGACTCTGACTTCTTTCCTTACCACCTGTGGCCAGAAGCAGAAAAGGCAGAATGAGATAATCTGCATTTTCTTAACAGACGTTATGTTGTCAGAGCATCACATTACCAGGTTTGATGTTTGGAACCAGACTAGGCTGTTGAGGAATGGCAGGATAGACATGGTTACCATCCAAGCAAACTCTTCAAGACTCTGGGGGTATGAAATTACAGGCTTCCACTTCGACTTGGTGCACAAACATGTGGTCATAACACAGTCCTAGTTTAATAGTTTCCTATTATCTAGTGTAAATGCACCCCGCAAAGGGTTATAAGCATTTCTGCTTACTAGATGTGTTACTTTTGTGATTTATCTTTTTTCTGAGCCCCAGTTTCCTCATCAAGCAAATAGTAATGATAAATACCACATACGTGGGAGTTATGAACATTAAATGAGATAAGATATGCAAATCACTTAGCATAGTACCTAGATTAGAGGAATCATTCAAAATAATACCTGTGATTAGATTATTCATTGTTATAGAATATCACTAGGGGCATACATTTGCATAAAATGCTTCCTTTATACACAATTCCTATTCTAACTCCTTTAAACTCAGTTGGGGAAATCCACACCACTGAGTTTTGGACTATAACTTAATGCTTTACAGATAATTCCTTTTGGAGTCAAGTCTCTTAGGGCAAATGAAAAGACCAGAAAACAAATAATGGTGAGGGAGAAGGGAGAATTCTGTGTTAGCAATTTTTTCTTATTTCTGTAGGGCTGAAAAGTAGTATTGTTTGGAGGTCTAGAGTTTTTGATAAAATGGAAGCCTTAAATTCTATCTTTGGTAGAATAACCAACTCATCACTCCCTGCTCTCCAAAATGTATTAAAAATCTTGGCCATGCCAGGGTGAGCAAATTTTACAATCTATGACTTTTGTGCTTAGTTCATGGTATTTCCTCATGCTCCCCCAACAAATATGTATTGTGAACTTACTACATACCAGGTACTGAGCCAGATGACTTCACATATGTGAGCCTGTTAAATCATTTTATTTCTCACATCCACCCTGTGAGATCATTTATCATCCCCCTATTATTGGATGAGAAAGCCGAGGCTCTGCAATGTTAAATTCTTTGCCTAAGTAACACAGTCAGCCAGTAAGTAGGCAGGCTTGTTTTTGAACCCATTATTTTGCAGATTTTTAACATTTTAAATATCTTGTGTTATACATAACTTTATTAAATAGGCATGACAAATCACAAAAGCACCCCAGAAGCTCACAATGGGAAGTTGCAGGTTAAGTAAAAGTAAATTACCTATTACATCTCTACTTAATCTAGGTAGAAAGGGAAGCTTGATTTTTTAAAGTAAAATTCCATATCACAAAATGCTTCCTGTAAACTGAGTACTTAACTCCAGCAAATTGAGATCTTGGCAAGGCGGAGTTGCACTTGGCTCTCAGTAGCCTAGATACACATTTGGGTGGGTAGCTCCTGCTGTTCAACTATTTAATAATCAGGGTTATGCACATCCAGAGGTGAAATGAAGACATTTTTACTTACAAATGGGTATTTGCAAATGTGCTAAGTTAACCTTGAGAGAGAAGTGCCTGTAATCTCTGTTCCTGGTCATTTTTAAAGCTTTGCTTCATGACTTTGTAGCCTTTTAAAAATTTGCTGCAGCAAATATGATTAACAAAAGTTTACAAAACAACAGTGCAGTTTATACATCACTTTAAAAGTTGCTTAACATGCCTGGTTGGTGTAGCTCAGTGGATTGAGTGTGGGCCTGTGAACCAAAAGATTGTGGTTTGATTTCCAGTCAGGGCACATGCCTGGGTTGCAGGCCAGTTTCCAACGGGGGATGCATGAGAGGCAACCACACACTGATATTTCTCTCCCTCTCTTCTTCCCTTCCCTGCTAAAGATAAATAAATAAAATCTTTTAAAAAATAAATGAAAGTTGCTTAACATGAATCTATTGTCAAAGCAACAATAATAAACAACAAAATAAAAGAGCAAATCAATGATGAGGCTTCATAGGCTTATCTTAGATAAACTAATTCCATCATTTCATGCGGTTCTCAGTAATGCTGGGAGTAAAATATTAAGCAACACATTTAAACAGCAGCAAATGTGTCTGTGTTTGTTACTCTAATTATTTATTGAGTAGCCATTTCACTCTCATTCTGTAATAAACTGAAAGGGGAATTAAGGTAATGCTTTTCCCTCCCATATGGCTATTCAACTACCTCTATATACTTGATTTCTCTTTAGTATTTTCTTTCCTCCAAATCTGTACAAAGAAAAGTTTCAGCTCATGTATGTTGTAATAACAACATGATACAGACAGTCTCTGTGAAAACTGTTCATTAAAAAATGTTTTCTATTGTCTCATTTTGTGTCTAATCCAGCTTTACCTACACTTTACAATTACCCAAATACTTTCATCTTGTTGCAAGTATTTTATTGAAAGCTCAATAGAAAGGAAAGCTATTGGAGCATCTATTTTGTTCATATTCCTATTGGTTATGATACTTTTGACCAGAAGATCTTTCAAGGAAATATTCAGCAAGCTCTTATGTATGTGACAGTGAGGCAGATGTGAATTGATTAATGTGATATGTGTTCTGAACACCTAGCCATAAATTGTTTTAAAGATTGACCAGAAAAACTTTCTTAAGGAGTTGTGTTGAAGTATTTTGCCAATAATCTACCCACAGTTTATTTGTAAATCTGTTCATATATTGGGTTTGCTTAAAGCAGAGCATACTACTTAGTCTGGTGGGGGGTTGGCATTATGAAATGTTTATGAAAGTGAATTATACATTTTTATTTCAATTAAACAGTTTCTCAACAATAGGCTAAAGCTAAGGCATAGACCTTTTGACAGGAAAATTGGTAACATTGACTGGAACAATGAATGATATTGCCCAAGCTGCTTCTAGCAAGAGAGCTTCGGGAAAAACTCATCTTAGGTACAGAGCCCATTTTAGTCTCATGCCACTGATGACTTTATATAAACTATATTTTACCAATGAAGAAAGAAAATGATATGGGAGTAGGACAATTAAAAAATGAAATGATAGGAAATTCCACTTGGCCTGGACCTTGTTCTTTGTAACAGGATCTTTGGGTAATTGAGAAAAAAAATCAGAACTCCTGCCCAATGAGGCCCCAGAGGAAATGCTTGCCTCTGTCAGAAGTTGCCCTTCTAAGCCCAGTGTGCCACACTCTGGCTCTCATGAGATCTAGTACATTTTGGCCAAAGGCACACTCTTCCCTCCAAGGCAGTTCTTCTGCCCAGAATGCTGGCACAACTTTCTCTGGAGAATTTGATTGAATCACCTAAAGAGATCTTGTTTGCAGTTGTCCCCTAGGCCTTGAGCAAAGCCAAAGCCAACACTTTCTGTTTCCTTGCCCCTGAGACCCACCCTGGCAAAATTGAGTTCTCCAGGGCCAAGTAAGCACTTTTATCAGAGGACCACTAGTTGGGGGAGCATTATGTTCACAAATGGAGTTAAGCCCTTAGGTTTAGGCAGTCTATAGGGATGAGGTCCAGTTGGAGGGAGGGAAGACAGGAGAGAAGGGTTGTGGAAATAGATAATCATGACAACTGAAATGGTACCCTTTTTACCTCTCTTTGGACAGAACATCATACACCCTTTTCCCCTACTGACTAGATTTGATCTGATTAGGAATGCCACTTACGCTCACACCAAGACTGCGGTCATATCTTTAGGAACTGCGAGTCATGTTCTTATACTCTTAGGCAGCCAAAGGCCTAGCTTTTCTGTTCAAGGAGGTTTTCTCTCACACACCCTGCTACCTGGAAGACACTTCACCAGCTCTCCATAAGTTTGGGTTCAGTGGGTCTGAGGCAGGCTGCTTTAGGCTTGGCAAGAGGAGCCCTTAAGAATGACATCTGGCAGTTCCCCTAGGGAAACACCCTCTCATCTGAACTTTGAAGTTGAGGTAAGTACTAGAAGACCTCTTTTCTACTTTATTTATTTTCTGCACACATGTCAAATATTTTATTCAACTCATTAATTAATGAGGAAACCAGTAAAATGTTAATACAACCTGTTCCAAGAAGAACCCCTTTCCACTTTAAAAATTCCTTCATCTATGGATTTATAGCCATGGATTGCTGGTGACCCTCCCATTCAGGCATCTGGCCTTCAACAGGAGAGAAGTTGTTTCATTAAGGGGCTTTAAAAATATTCAGGAAACATGGAAACATACCAGATAGATGGGGTCATTGCATCTACAAACCAAATCTGAAATGTCTTGCTTCTGGTTGTCCTTGTTTGTCAGACAAAGAAGATAATGAATATCTGTTTTGTGGAGGGATATATAGGAATCTTTTGATGATCTGTCCTTTGGAAAAAAAGGGCTGAATATGTTTTTATGGCCTGCTGGAGAGGGCCATAATTTGACAAATCACAATGATAAGAAGAAGCCTGGGATCTAGCAGGTTACCAATAGTTAAGAAACTAGCACTTATTGAGTGCTCACTGTGAGCCAGAGCTTAATAAACCTCAGCTCATATAATCCTTATAATAATCCTATTTGGCAAATATTCTTAACACTATCATTTTACACCTGTGGAAACTGAGATTTAGAGATGTGAAATAATTTCCGTTTTATGATCCTTCCAATGTATTAAGACAAACAAATAAAAACAAAGAAATGTCAAAGACAAGGTTTAAAAAAATTGTGGTAACACTTTCACACATCTCATTACAAGAGCAATTGAACACAGTATGGGTTTGCTATTCATAAGATAAATCCAGGACTTGTATTAAAATTAATTTGTACTGCACTATGTACAATGTGCTCTGCAAATGTCTGCTGTGTGGTCTACAAGCTTTAAGTTGTATGACAAATGTTTCTGTCCAAACTTATCAGCAAAATTCTGTGAATATATGGAAAATAGCCTTGTTGTGAGATAACCTCAAACACAGATGCCCTTCATGAATGTAAGGTTTTCATCAAATGGCTTTCCTAACTGCCCATCCAACTCTTGCCCTGACCAAAGTCTTCTGACAGCAGAAGGCCCCTCACAAGTACATTCGGTGCCACTAAGTTTCACAGCTTTGACTCTTACTATAGCTTCTAAAGGGGTAGTGCAAGCTTGAAAGTCCTTCCAGGCCAAAACAACGTTGTCCTGCCATTTTTGGTTATGTGAGTAGATTAATCTTATTTCATTGTTCTTTTTATCATTGTATCTCAGTGGTTATCACCATTATTGTGTCACACACAAACATAAAACATTATGTATCTGCTGTCTAGAAATATGTACACACACACATACACACAATTTTGAATACACTTTCCATACAGTTTACAACCTGTTCTAGACCTCTGAATCAATGAAGGTCAGTCATGTACTCTATGTATAAAAACTCTCTGTACACTAGCATCCATGATCTTCAATAGGAAATTCTAAGCCATAATTATTTGAGGCTACCAAGGTTAATACAAGAGCCCCCTAATATTTCAGTGATTTGGTGGTTATTTAACATATCAGGACAACATGCTAAATTTGAAATTGATCCAGAGTCCCACTTTTTCCAGTCTGACAAGTTAGAGGACTCCCTCACACACACCTCCCTCTGACTTAATTTCCCTGGAATGATGGCCACTGGGTTATAGCCTAGAATTGACCCAGTAACCAAGAAATTATAAATAGTCATTGAATCTCTGTGGGGCCGTTCTATGTAAACAGAAAATGTGTATGTTTTTCTGCCTTTGCGAATCAGTTAAAAGCCATGTATATGGGCACATATACTGGGATGGGGGGGGGAACTCTTAGACTTCCTGACATGCATCCATGGATCATCCTGCTCTATTTACTCTCTGATTTCTGAACATTCACTTCCTGTTTTGTTCCCTGTTTTATTCATCTGGTTGTCTCTGTCCTTG